GGACACGACGCGCATCCTCTCTCTCGCCTGCGTCAACTCCTCCTTCGTGACCGTCACACGGGCTCCTCGGTCTGCCACAAGCTGCTGGTCGGTGGGCACCTCCTCCTCCACCTGCTGCCAGTAGTGCACCCAGCTCCCATACGGATGTGGCCTGTCACTGGGAGCATCGTCCGACATAGCCTGCCTGTCGAGGAGCCGAAGGTTCCAATGGCATCGCACGAGCTTCTCGGCCCTCGCCACCTCCAATTTGTTACGAGATTTGGAGTGGATGAAACTCCAACGGGACCAAGCTCTCTCGCAAGGCGACGCAGTCGCCCACACACGCAGTATCCTGCCAGCGAAGAAGGTCGTGTGCGAGAACCTCTTCTCCTTCGACTCCCAGAAACATGTTGGATGGGTATAGCTCCTCGCCGCCCGGTCCATGGCCACATCGTCGAACGGCAGCTCCCTGGAATGAAACTTGTCAATGGCAGTGAGGACCTCGGTGTGCTGATCCGAATGTTCCGGGTACCCAAACTGAATCAGAGCGAGTTTCAAACCGTGCTGCATCTCCTCGTCATCTAGCATCGTGCGGTCTCGAAACTCGGGGTCCAACATCATGGCAGCAACATGAGTAGGCGACTTGAACATGGTGCGGCGTCTGTCAAACACTTCAAGCAGCGCGTCCTGCTCGTCCTTCTCCAATGCGGCACATGCAGACAAACAACGCGCGATCATCTCGTCGTACCGACGCAGAATCTTGCCAATCTGCCTCGTGTCGCTGTCCACCATCTGCAGCATGTCCATGATGGGATCCAACAACTTGCACAGCGCTCTCATATCCTCCCACCATTGAGGACAACCGACACATGCTGTGACCTCCGCGRCGTCGTCTCGAATCTTCTTCGTTGACCAAATAGTGTCCTTCTATCGATCATCAACGACCATCTGCATAAGACGCGATTGTAGCAGAAGAAGTCGTCGCATCATAATCACATGCGTACCGAAGCGAGTCTCGGCGGGAAGCAGCAGAGCCTTCGTCGTGAAAGCTTGCAAAACTTCGCGAGCGTGGCTATGACGCTTGAAAAACTTTGTGACCAAACGCGCCTAAGCAATGCGGGTCGCCACCCAGTCAATGCTACCGATGTCCTCAAGGATGAGGTCCATGGCGTGTGCCACACAAGGAATCCAGAAGATGTGCTTGACACTCTCATCCTTCTGGAACACCTCCATCGCAGAAACGTTCGAACTGGCAGAGTCTGTGACGAAAGCGGTGATGTCGGCGAGCTTGATGTCAAGGGACTTCAACCTTTGCAGCCAAGCCTGCGCCAGAGCAGTGGCATCCTTCTTTCCTCGCATAACATCTGTCGCGACGTATGTGGCGCCCCGTGTAGTGCCGACGAGATAGTTGCACAACGTTTGGCCCCGAATGTTGGTCCAACCGTCTGTCATTATCGTGCAACCGTAGGTAGCTGCAGTAGCGAGGACAGGTTTCACACACTTTTGGACGAGCTTGTTGGACTTCCACATCAAGCTCATCCAAAAGTGTGGTACGGATCATGTGATACGTTGGGGGGTTTGGGGTGGGGACTCCTGGAACCCCAGGCGGGATGATCAACGTCAACATGCGTTTGAAGCTCTCAAGCTTCACACAGTTGAACGGCATGCCGCTCTYGACAATGAATCGCATGATCTGCAGGTGCCATGCGTGCTCCAGCGGGTCGTTGTAATACGAGGTCACCGCCTGCTGCCTGTAAGTGCCCCTCAATCGTGCACCGGCGCCCATACCTAGCGAATCCCACACCCCGCCCTCGGCCGCAGGTGATGCGGTGGGGCCTGGACTCGGAGCTGCAATGTTGCGCAGATTCTGTAARGGATCCAGTGTCCCAAAAACACCGTGCTGCGAGGTCGGGCCGTTCACGGGCACAGGAGTGGGTGACGAATCCGAAACCTGGACGGGCTCGACGAGCTGGACGTTTCCCGCACCCTCAGTGGCCGTTGCAGCGGCCTCGCCAACAGGTGTCGAAGTCAAGTCAAGTGTAGGCCGTCGTGTTTGCGAAGGAGAGGGAGGCAACCATGGATACGCAGCGGATTGATGTCCTGTTGCGGGTGTTCCTGCCACGGCCGGACGTGTGTCTGTGCGTCGAACTCTTCGGACCTTGTCCCTGTTGCCAGTGAACAACGGGGCGAGGCCTGATGATGTGCCAGCGTCCTTCCCCCACCCACCGCCCTCGACGAAAGCACGAGTGCCTTGCTCGTCGAACGGCACAGGTTCCCCGACACCTGAAACTGGCACGGTGCCTTGCGCATCAGGCTGCGTTGCCACAGATGGTCTGCCATCAACGGATGCGGGAATCGTCTGACGAAGCGGACGAGGGGGGAGGGCAGCAAGTGGTGCACATGGAGATGGCGCCACTTGCGAGGCGGCAGCGGTCGACGGGGGCGGCGGAACGACGTCATCGGGAAAACGAAGAGGTGGCCATTGAAAAGAAGGATGACCTAGAGGGAGACTCTGCAAGGCCTGCACGGCAGAAGCCAAATGTGCAGGACACTTGGACATATCCTTTGACCAAATCGCGTGCCACACCGCCGGAGTGGCTACTTGGCATCTATACCCCTCGTCACGAAAAAAGTGTTCCTTCGCCTCACGAGCACCCCCACATAGAGAACGACCGCATAACCTGCACAAACAACGGCGACCGTTCTTCCTCCCGATCGCAGTGGATCCATCTAAATAACGACCACGAGCAACGAAATGCCAAACAGGATCATCTCGTTTTCCATCCGCCTTTGGATCCACCTTAAAAGGGGAGTCAAAGGTCTTCGTCTTGTGACCTTTTCTACTACCCTCCGCCCTTTTCCCCATTGCCGAGGAGGACTCCGTGGGGCCCTTCCCGTCATTGCCTCGAGGGTCAGACATGTTGTGGAGACCGAATGAAATCCGCAGAAGGGGTGAACTGAAACGAACTTCGACGCCAACGA